TCGCGTAGTGACGAAATTTCCTGTCAAAAGATTCGTTTGCATCAGCTTCTTAATACACGTCCGATATATACGTCGCAAAAGCAACGTCGAGACGATTAGAGACTAAAATGCGTCGTAATTCGCCGTGCACATTTTGCGAATAGGTAATTTATCAGAACTGCATGTTGTCACACTTTCACTTGCGAGAACTCTCGAGACTTTCTTACTTATCGCAGACACGATTATACGATTATACATTATACGGTAAAAATTTGTCAGGATTTGTTTGTTTTTGCTGCATTAACCAAATCGTAGAAAAACTTGTTTCGCGTAGTAAACAAATCCTTGATTCTGAAGATTCTTGATCTTTAGTTTCATGAATCATCGTTAAGTTTCTTGAAAAATTACAGATCTACAAAATCTCTCTTAATCTTTTTAACAGTTAATTTTAAAATACAAAATTCGATATTCGATTTATAATCACAATTTTAATTCCGCCGTATTTGCGGATCCTTTTTGTTTGCTGATTTTTATTCCAAATTGTTTTCATATGCATATTTCAACACATGCATATGTATATAAGAGAGAGAAAGAAAATTGCGAAATGAATTTTACATGTGCATATAAGAACGGCGGATGAATTCTATTAAAAGACTGACTGTGCAGCAAAAATAACGTACCGTTGGGTACTATTCCATCATAAGTCGCAGACGTCTAATTTTGTTTACCATTGAACATCATATCTGCCAGTTACTTTTTCGGTCATGCCACGCGCATTGAAATTTTTTAGATGCTCCGCCTGACGTCAATCGAAAGAACCAGCGAAAGAAGAATTCTGAACGAGAATGCTGCTTTTATACCTTGTTATAATTAATAGCTCGCCGACGGATTTTTGTTTATTGTTGTCAATAAGCGGATACCGCCGAGAGAAACCGAGAGAAAGAGATCTATTTGCTTTTACTCCCGTTTTTTACGCGAGACGGTGAGATAACAGAAGAACGGAGCCGCTCTCTGAGCTCCAACCTCTTCGAAAGTAAAACACAAGTTGTCGCGGTTAAATTAAATTTAATAAATATTAATTTAATATTGATTCGAGCACAAAAAGAGATTACATTGCCGATGATGACATCAGTCGGGCTCCTGAAATGAACACCATGTAAAGACTCACCGTGTGAGTCATCCTGCACCACCTTCCTTAAGTGTAAATCTCACGCTCGTTGTGAAGTCATTAAACTTCATTAAGAAGATAGCTTGTTGGAAAATAAACATACGTATGTCACGCATATCCCGTCGATTTCTAGAAATCAACAAATACGCGCATGGTGTGTGTGCGTGTGATGCAAATGAGATCAAATTAATCGTGTCCGGTGGAAACCGTACATAAATATGACGACTACGCGCAAAGCTGACATAATTTCACGGTCGCGATACCGTCATTGAGAGTGAATTAATTTTACTGCAGCAAAACACAAAAACTCTTCATCATTACTGACAGATTTTGTTTTTTTTTTTTTTTTAAATTAACGACAACATTAAGAAGATAATCGTCGATCGTCAATTTTGTTTCATCAAATTTTAAATATCAATATTTACGACCTCTCGCGCCCATCTACCTATATGTTATATACGCGTAAAAATCTCGTGCGTAATATCTCACAAAACATTAATAAATATTTCTCGCGCGATGAAAGATAGTTTCAAGATTTGCATTGATCGGAACTCGAATCAATTAATTTATGTTGAGGAAAATATTGGGAAGAGAACTTCGGACCCTGCTGTAAATTTTCAATCGCCATAGTCTCTCGAAACACAAGTGTAGACACATCTCGCGTAGCTATAAACCCCCGCACGCGCAAAAATAAACTAAACGAAAATTTCGACGGAGCAAAACTCAACATTGAAAGCGGCGAGTGCGGCCATTGCGAGGCAAAGGTCGTAAGCTACTATCCCGAACGGAATATATTACGTAAGTTAGCATAAAATACAAACTTTCTAAACGCGTGCCGCGCGCCAACACGTTCGCGCGCCGCCTCCAGGATGCGATCTTGATCCCATTCGCGACGGCGGTCTATCGCCGACGTCGACGGTTAAGAAACGATTCTCTGACTCGCCGTGTCTCTGTGCGAATATTGCAAATGTTATTAATAAAAACAATAATTGAACAATTACTCGATTCGCTCGATTTCCCGTCTACTGAAGTCGCAACTGGTTTTTTATTTTTAAATACACACAGAAGTGTGTCTATCACGTGTTATTTTAGAACGCGCGCTGCCTGACGTGGAGATCATCGAAAATAATAAATGTTATACTCGCGACGCAACGGTACCGACTCAACCAACGGAACTTTCTGCCTTTTTAGTTTCGCGTCGACAAAAAAATGACCAAGGAGAAACGTCGATCGGTTCGTTGCGCTGAATGTGCTTGGTGCATTGTGCAAACGAAATCGATTATTTCAATGTAAACGGATTATATAAAAGTCTCTCAGCACATGTATCTAAATACACATATATAATTAGTTACTACACATAGAAGATAAATAAATCGATCATGGAAAAAGATCACGCATATTTTTAACCTCTTGTACTTGAGCACTGCAAAGCTTTTTGTGTGTGTGTGTGTTTACGTATATATACTACATCATTAAGTTAATTATTAATTGTGTCTAGCACATATATCTCAATATATGTCGTTAATAAATTTTAAATTTCACGCAACAAATTTTAATTTTGCAATTTATGATTATTGGTTTCTTATGTTATTTCAAGTAAACATAATTCTGATGATGATGTATTCGTTCAGGTGTTCACCACGTACTACATCTCTAAAAGTGGTATTATGTCATTATTTTAAAAGATACTACTCTTGACAATTAATTATTTTACATATACATATAGTAGTATTTATGATATCTTCTTTATCTATTTCGTCTAAAAAAAATTTAAATTTTAAATTAACAATCGTTCAAAATAGTTGTGACACAAATTAAAAACATGCAATATTCTTGATATTTTCCTACAGCTTACTGTTATAATACATCATGAAACTTTCCTTCAACAATGGCCTCTTTATGAATGCTAGAATACTATTACTTTTGCTTGGAAAGCCCCGCCAACAAAACGTATCTACTAACATCGCATCGTGCATTTGCATTGCTAAGGAGATTCCTGGTTATAACAATCATGTAAATTAAAAAAAAAAAACGTAATATGCGCGATACGCAACATTATGCTCCAAAAATCATTTTCTTTTTTAAACAAACGCACATGTGAATTTAGAGATTCGAAAATATTCCTCATCTATGTATATTGATTATATTCTCTTTAGAAATGTTGAAAAAAAAAATTAAGTAATGATAAATAAATGTGTAAGAAACTGAAAAAAATAAGTGTAGACTACATTAGTACTTGAATCACTTAAACAGATATGATCGATTTGAACGATAAGATTCAATCTCTGAAACTCCGCAACAATGTAACGAGCAGTGATTCACACAAGTTCACTATTGAAAAAAAAAACAGTTATTTATATTTAGCTATTAAATAAAACAACTATTTTGTTCAATAAGAGGCACAAAAAATAATCAGAAAATAAAATACTCACCGCGAGAATATTTCCTAATGAGCGCGCGCGCGCGCACTCACACACATGCGCGCACACACATACACTGCTGACTCCGTTTTTCTTCTTCTATGGTTTTAAGTTCAGGCTGGGCTCGTGGCACGGTGTGGCGTGGAGTCGCCGCGGCTGGCCGTTGCCCCGAATGTCAAACGGCGCGAACAATGGCCCGTGACCGGCGACCGCATGTCATCGGAGATGCGCACGGTGCGTCCGAGAGAGAAGGAATGACGAAGAGCGCGAAGAAGAGAGAGAAAGAAAAGTGCTTCTTTTTTTTTTTCGCGCTAGAACACGTTACAAAATTTTTGCGTATTGCTGCCTGTGTTTGCCACACTGCAGCGACGCCGAAACGATATCGCCAAGACGCGTCGTCTCTCCTGGTGTGTTCCCCGTCTGCGTGGAAAGATGTGCGGCGTCGTTTTCTCTGTGTGTTCGCGCCGCGCGATGCACCGTAGCGAACTGAAGTGAGCGCGCCATACCGCCGAACCGAAGACCGCGGCTGCGGCCGAGCACGCCCGATCGTCGTGCGACCGGCCGCCGAGACTGGCCGAAACACACGCAGAGAGATCGTCTTTCTCTCTCTCTCTCTCTTTCTCTCTTTTCTCGTTACCGAGAGTCATTCTCTTTTTCTCTTTTTCTTTCTCTCTTTCTCTTTGTCTCTTTCTCTGTTCTTCCCGTTTATGGGATGCCTGCCAACAACCTAGCAACTCGGCGTCATGGAAACCTTCTCTCCGAACACGTCTGGATCCCCACTCGATCTTTCCTAATAACGGCGGGGATTATTCTGTCCTTTGACAAAAAACGTTTTTAGGCAGAAGAATCAGGTGCTTGGGCGAAACGTGAATAAGAAAAATTTCAAAATTTTCTTTAGTCTCACTTTTTTAAGTCTCACCACTGCGAAAGGCAGAATGGTGCAATTAAATGCACAAACGACGATGTCAAACGAGAAAAGATCAGCATTTCGACGCTTTGTTAGCGAAATTTCGCTTCTATTGGAATTAAGTTGAAAAGAAATAATTTATTCCCGCGCCCACAAACTCTACGCACGTCTGTTGTACGGCGATCTGTTGGAACCCCGATGCGCGCGTGACTAAAAATTATTTATTTCTCGCACCCGTAAGGCAATAATTACTACATCCGTTTACCTTTTCTGGAATCTCGCGATGACGTACCTCGCCGTCTGTGTGCAAATCGCAATTTGTACGTCGATACAAATTGTCGGTCACATGAGCTGTGACTGTAACGCGGCGTGTTAACCGCAAAAGTTTAACGAATACCGCAAATACGTCGTCGCGCACGGTCACGTCGACGTGTTGCACGCGCGCACGCAAACGGTGATTTATAGACGAGCGCACACGTGATGCCAAACGAATTCGTAAAAAGACGGTTTGTGTCATGTTCTGAGCTAAACGCGGAAGAACACGATCTGTGTGTGTGTGTGTTTTAAAATTCGGACGAGTTAAAACTGGTTAAACATTCAAACTTGTTCACCAAGGCGTCTTTGACACCGCAGATTGTCAATCCGTTGCGGTGTGTCGTAAAGTTTTTTCTCTCGCAAAAAGTTACGATCTTATATTCTTCGACAGAAAAATTTTTTTCCGAATGTGGATTACACGCGATTGTTCGTTCAATTTCAACTCGGGAATGACACGTGTATTTGTGTGGGACTGGACTAAAATGGGTTAATATACTCGCGCGCAATCTAACAATCTCTCACTTTTACACAAAGGCACTTTGATGATAATAAGTTCATCGCTTTTGCTTTTGTAAATAATTTTCCCGTTTTCATTTGATTTCTATGCATTCATTTAGCTCGTATACCGAGTCAATGTAGATGCGCAGATGTATTTTGCATGTTCTCGTGTATATATATATATAAACACGTTCCGCGGGATGTTGTCTATTCAGAACGAGCGATATTTCAAATATCAGTCTGACACGTGTACTGATTATATCGATAATTTGTCTCGACTCTTCGTTGCGCGCGTGTCACGATTTTTTCGAGACAAGGTCTTTCGAATGTCATGCTGTTTAATCACAAATCGATACTTGTCAGTCGCTCTCTCGCAATTATAGAATTTACAGATCAACAAGAAGTGGCCGAAAAAAAAGTTAATTAAGCGTTGTACTTCGAAGAATGGGAAAAGTATTGACATGTGTGAAACAATATTTTTCCAATATATTGTGTATAAACAATATATATATATATATATATATTCATTTTTTTCTCAATATCAAGGATTAAATGAAAAAGCCAATGCTAATATATTTACCAGGAGAGAAAATGTAATAATAATTTTAATATTATTTATTCTCTGATAAAGAAAATAAAGTACTTATTAATTTTTGATAACCTTTCCAAAGAATGCGTGGGAAATATTTTAATGTAAATTTTTGCATATCGTTCTCATTTAATTGACCTTACAGAAAGAGAGAGAGAGAGAGAGAGAGAGAGAGAGAGAGAGAGACAGAGTTCTCGAAATACATTATATCAAAGGTTTATTTTTCAAAAGCGGCAATATATATCGCCAGCACAATTACTCACCACCGTAAAAATGTAAACTCTTTTTTTTTCGACAAATCGTAAATTTACATTTCTGCTTTTTCTAACGAAATCAAACGGAGTTTAATTAATTTGTCTTCTCACACGAGAGATGCGCTCCACACTCCGCGTGGGTGAAATATTTGGTGGAAACGCTCGCGGATTTTGACCGGACAGGTGAAAGCGTCCGAGTTTCTTCGCAAATAGCCAGATAGAATCGTGTGATACGCGTCGATTCCGAGATCGCGTTAAACGAGCACGCATGTAATTTTAATAAATCGTAAAGAGGGGGAAAAGAGTCGTTTTCGCGATCGGCGTATGACGATATAAAGCAGATTCGCCGTGGTCATAAAGATGTCCTGGGGATGGAGAATTAATTGGCCGATAGCGCGACACGGCGCTTATTTCGGGCGTAAAGTAAATTCAAATGTAATCACTCAGCGAGTGGGGCTGTTTAATAAGACAGATTACGCATTGCGGCGCATTGGCCATGTCAAATTTACTTCTCATTGTGTTCTATCGTCCGTCCTTCGCTTATCTGTTTATAGCGTTCTTGCTGGATTTCGTTGTTGCTTCGGCACGAAACGAAAACGCACGCACCGGATAATTTTTTGACATTTAAAATCGAAAGGGTAACAAAAAAATAAGATATTAAAATATATTCAGACAAACACATCTTAATTTTTGTAGTGTTCTAAATGTAGTTTCTCTTTAATTTTTGTCAATTTGTTTGCATATTGATCAGTTTGCAGTTTTAAATTAACCTCATGATAAACGAAGATTATATTGCACATTGTTGATACAAAATTATGTTATTTTTTATGTTTTTTAATCTATATTTTTTTTTGTACCAAACATCAGAGGAAGTTTTACGAGATTCGAAATCTTCACTGATTAATTTAAGACGCGATTTCAGCGATGTCTCGAATCGCATAAAATATTGCTGCTCGATCGACTGCTAATAAAAAAACCTGTCAGCATGACATTAATTAGCGCAAAATAAAGTGACGTCTTTAGAAAAAGCGTCGAAAAAATAATTTTGTAATCGGCGCAACACTGGTTTTTGAATTAAATTAATGACGACCATTAACATATTCCGCTCGAGCAATCGTTTAATTGAATTCAATAAACGCTTTTGTCTCGAACATAATTAATTGTTCAGACGTTCGTTATGTTCCGCGACGTCTTTTTCGTCTCAGATCCGATAAGTAGTACGAAAAGTTCGATAAAACGCAGCACGACAAATAGTGATAATACTGGCACATCGATTGTTCGTAATAACGTAAATGTTATGAATGATATTAATCGCCGAAGGACGTAATCTCTTAAGCTAATTATAAGCTAACAATATACCGATCTTGTGTCGCTTCTTAATGCTTCGAGATCACATTTTGTTTAGGTATCCTCTCGGGTTGACCGTACGCGTCACCACTTAATCTCTTGTTTTTCAGTTTCCTGGCCATCTTCTTTCTCAGTCTGTAAATCTCTTCCCGTTCCTTGCGACGCTTTCGACCGTCTCCTTTGATCTTGTTCAGTCCGGATCGTTTTAGCAGGTATTCCGTTATCCTTTTGGACTTCTTGTCCTTGGATCGCGGTAGCTCGGCGGCCAGCAAATTGTACAGCTTTTTGGTCATGATTCGCGGTCGGCGTCGCGACGTCCTCGATCGAAGGACGTCAGTGTGCGACGCCACGGCGGCGGCGCTGATCGCCCGCATTTTCGCCAATCGGCTCTTCTGGCGCCGATGATGGAAATCTCGGATTTCGCAAAGTGCGTTTTGTTGCCTGCGGTTCAACTTTATATCGATCGTCGGCATTTCCAACATCGAGCAGTTGTCCTGATCGTCCTCGCACGACGAGCTGTCCGATCGGCACAGCGTCACGCACTCGGCACTCTTTTCATCCGTGGACGCGCATTCGCAACTTTTGTCCGTCTCGCATCCCGACGAAATCTCCGAAGACTCTTGCTCGCATTGTTTGTGACATTCGATCGTGTGATTTTCCATCTTTTTGGAAACATTCTCGATTAAACTCTCCTCCTCGTCGCAATCCTCTTCGGAGTCACAACTGACTTCGCAGGATTTTGTCGCCGACTCGACGGTCTCGGATTCACATTCTTCCGAACAAGATCTCGTCACGCAATCATACTCTGCATCATACGTTTTATGTTGTTAAATCTTAGAAATTTGTTTTGAGATGTATTTTTAATAAATCTAATGACAAATATATTTTCACGCGGACAAATTGTCATATTACTTAATGTCGCAAAATAAAAATAACAACTTTTTTAATTACTTTCTTTTGTAACTTTCCAACGTTATTTCTTACGTTACATTATCTTTTAAAACATGTAAATTATCAAAATAAACCTTTAATAATTACCTTTTTTTGTTGTTGTTTCGTGTAACTCCGTCATTGCTGTTGTTGTCTCAGGAATAATTTTCTTCGTCGTTAGTCTATGATATGTTTTGAAAATTTTGAAGGGAATTGAAGAAACCTTCTTCGTCGTTGGCGCCGAAGTCACATTCTTGACAATTTTTTTCAAACTTATTCCACATTCATTGGACTCACACTCTTTTGATAAGGAAGTCGTTGTAGAGATCTCTTCGCTCTCGGACATGCTTAACTCGACTTTTGAACGTGACAGTTCCATATCGATCGTTGGTATCTTTTCTGTGGTTAATGATATTGTAGTAGATGTTGCAGGTGATGTGGTGAGCAATGTTGTACTCGTTATGGGTAATTTAGTAGTGGTTGTGGGCGATATTGTAATAGTTGTCTTAGGTAATTCTGTAGTAGTTTTTTTAGGTAGTTTTGTGATAGTTGTGGGTGGTTCTGTGGTAATTGTTGTGGGTGGTTCTGTGGTAGTTGTGGTTGGTTCTGTCGTAGTTGTTGCAGGTAGTTCTATGGTAGTTATTGTGGGTGATTCTGTGGTGATTGTTGTAGATGGTTCTGTAGTAGTTGTTGTGGGTGGTTCTGTGGTAGTTGTGGTTGGTTCTGTGGTAGTCGTGGTTGGTTCTGTGGTAGTCGTTGTAAGTAGTTCTGTGGTAGTTACTGTGGATGATTCCGTGGTAATTGTTGTGGATGGTTCTGTAGTAGTTGTTGTGGGTGGTTCTGTGGTAGTTGTGGTTGGTTCTGTGGTAGTTGTTGTAAGTAGTTCTGTGGTAGTTATTGTGGATGATTCCGTGGTAATTGTTGTGGATGGTTCTGTGGTAGTTGTTGTGGGTGATTCAGTAGTAGTAGTTGTGGGTGATTCGGTGTCAGTAATTGCGGGTAATTCTGTAGTAATTGTTGATGTTTCAGTCTTCATCATCGTCGTCGTCATTTTTGGCATTTTAAACTTTGTGGTGATTATCGGAGTTGATATGCTCACTGACTCTGTAGTAGTTTTTGGTTCCACAGCGATCTCGCTCACCTTCGTAACTTTTTCCGTACTTTCTTCCGATGTTTCAAAACTTTCTGTCTTTGTTTCGCTCGTACTAAGTGGAGTCGTGGTCATCGGTATGGTCTTTGTTGTTGCATTCATGACTTTTGTGGTTACTTTCACTCTCGACAATGTTAGCGGAATGTTTTTCACGCGATTCTCCAATTTTATATCTACGCACATATTGCTCAGCTTGAAAAAGTCTCTGATAAGATTCTTGATTTCGGAACTCACTAATTTGCAACGTAAAACTGATTGCAGACCTATTTGCAAACAAGTTCGCGGAGCATTGCAAAGAATCTCGACGGGAACGTCCTTCATGGCCGACAGACTTTCTTTGATCTGGTCGATTTTCTGCATCATGTCCTGATATGTCAGCACGTGACGCAGATTCTCGTAGGCGTCGAACAGTTGCAGAAGTTCGGGGAGAGTCTCGATCATGTGACTGCTGCGCCAGTATTTCGCATGCATATGCAGAGATATCGCGATGTCCTTGACAAAGTCGATGTCCCTCAGCTGTCCGGTAATTTCCAACGCAAGCTGCGCCGGTGTAAGCTGTTGATATTTATGCACTCTGAGATATCTCTCCACCACGTTGAACTTCTCCAATTTTTTCACCAGAAATTTTTTAGCATCGATGACGTCTTTATCAAGCACGTCATCGGGCAATACAAGGTCAAAGAGATATTTGACGTGTATCATGCGATCCTCGTAGACGTTGCCGAGCAACAGGATGTTTTCGTCGATCGTGCCGATATCGTCGGCGATACGTTTCACAAGTAGGAATGCGTGTCTCTTCAAATTGTCATCCGAAATATTCTCGATATAAATGCTCATGTAATACCGAAAGAGAGAATTCACACTGTGGAATTTTTTCAGTTCTCTCGTGGTCAACTGTTTCAGGATTATCGTCGAACTTGATTCGGTGATTTGCATCTCGTGGAAGTGTCGTACGAGCTCTCGCTCGGCAAGACGTACCTCATCGTCGTAGCTCTCGTATCTCACGTGATAAAGAAGTCCGGATAATAGACCAGGCGTAATCGTCAGCACTTCCTTTTCCAGAAATCTCAGCAATGCCTCGAGCGAAAATCCTCTGGGGTATTGCTTCGACAGTTTCGACAAACGATACACCAAAAACGTGACATTCAAACCGGATGACGTTTCAAGATCGTCGAGATCCAAAAGATTGTGCTTCTTGATTCTGCTGCACACGGTCGCGCTGTTTCTCAGACAAGATTTCACGTGAGCATAAATTTCGTCGCAGATCTCAGACGGTCTTATAGTTTCTTTCTTCAAGATGCCGGGAATCAGGCTGAATATATTGTATCGTCGATTGAAAATCTCTTGATACACTTTGTGCAACGCCTCCACTTCCGCGACGCTGAAATTATCGTAATAGACGTACAGGAGGCTGCCAAAGATGTCAAGGATTCGCATTCGCAAAAGCACACCGAAATGCAGCAGGTGCTCCGTTCTTTCTTGCAGCGTATGACTTGATTTCGGTCTGATAAAGTCTAATCGCTCGACAAAATCAAGGCTTGTCAAGACTATATCGTCCGACGTCAGCTTTGCTGATATCATGTCGTGTCTGTGGACATCATAGTCGATCGCCTAAAGAAATTGTTCATAGAAATGAATTTTTTTGTTCTGAAGCACTTGAAGAGGAGAGATTTGTTGACGTATCATTTTACGCATCGACGTTTTTCTTACAACTTTATAGATAAATAAAACTTTTATCTCGAATATTCTTTTCAAAAAGAAAAAAGCTGTTTTTTTCGCAAGTTTTTATTAAAAAAAATAAAATAAAATAAATAAACAAGATGAATTGATTGAGAATTTCTGTGAATTAACCTGATTGATAATACGAGAACTTAAACTTTATATCGTCGTGTCAGCAATGTGACTAGCAATGTTATCGGTTAATTTTCTAAATTCCATGGCCAATCATGATTTCTTTTATTTTCTCCGCTTTATTATTGCGAGGGTCACGAGGAATTTAACGATCCATACCGTGCATCGTTCTCGTAGTTAACCCGTTCGATAACACGCCGGCAATATCAAGACGACGGCACTGATGTTAGTAATAGCCACTGTTACTCACGATAGGGTTAATACCGTAACGGCCGAAGTCTTTAATCTGACGCATAATAACTCAATAAATCACGAAAAATAGATAAATCGCAATCATTACGATGTCTCTCGTTAATTAATGATGACACAATGTAATAAACTCGAAGTATTGCAAATTACAGCAAAACGACGTTTAAACAAAATAGATTGATACGCTAATTTTTGCCAATCAATACACGTTGTAATATGTAAAAGTGTTTTTAGTAACATTTAAAGAGAGTTTTAATCCTTTATAGGAATGTTAGAAAAAAAAAAACGTGCGTTTAATATACAGTTATCGATATGCGGTCTCTCCTTTTCTCTCCTCCTCTTATTTCTCTACTTTTCGCGATAAACCGTGAAACATCCTTGTCTCTCACCTGCGCGGATAATACGAGCAACAGGATCAAAATGCACCCGATTCCGTGTACCACGATCCCAGATGACATTTTTAATACCGTAAACTCACGAAAGTCACTCGCGAGACGATACAGCTCGCTCCGACAACAATGCAAACCGATTAAACTGTTGCGTAGCTTATATAAGCCACACATGCACGTCTTTACGACGTGCACGTGGGTGACGACGTGGTATGCACTGTTGTGTGGACCAATACCAGGTGTATATCAAAGAGACTTGAAATTAATTATGAGCGCGCGCGCGTGAGAGAAAAAGAGAGACGATACAGTGCGCTGCCCTGACATGAGACTCGAGTTACAACTATTTTCGTGATTTGATGCGTGTTTGTTTTTTTTTAATAAATATTTATTTATCGATCACTCTTTTATATATTCACTTCCATACTCTTTGTTAATTGGCCGTAATATAGCTCTGGAATATAAAACTTTAATAATATCTATTTTTTAACGTTATCAACATTTTTTTGAGCAATTTTTCAGGATTTCAAATTTCCAAAAAAATAAGTATCTCTTTTTTGTCGTGGAAAATAATATTCAAAAAAAAAAAAAATAAAATAATGTTCCGCGGTTCCTGATGAAAGCTGATTGATTCATTTATTTTAGTCGAGGATTCGGCGAAGATCAATATATCAAAATTAACTCAATAGGATTGGAGAGGATATCGCGTTTCGCACAAGCTCCGCAAAGCTTTATCTGAAATTCTGTCCACCTGGACAGTCGTCGTCGGTCGAGCTTGCGCAGTTCACCCTCCCAATATGGATTCCACGAGTCATACATGTCTCTCGCTAAGGGTGAAACAATTATAAACCAAGTATCGCGTCCCCCGTCAGTGCTCTCGGGTAATCATTCGCTTCTCGTCGTCGCAACGATCGTCTCTGACTTACACGGTTCTGTGTATAGTCTATCGTCATATAGTTAGAGAACTCGATACTAGGTATAATGTCGGAAGACTATCAATACGCTTGCGAGAGGGCGGAATTACTGGGCTTACCCAAGCCTACCGAAGAGGAGTGGAAACAAACGCAAGCGGCGCAGAACGAAAATCGTGACAACGATGATGATGCTGGCGCATTACAGGTAATTGCATTTTGTTTAAATTACGAGTAAAATTTTCGCAAATATAAGATACGTCCTATAATATGATCGAAATCTTGAAGATTTATAATTAAATACGTATTAACTAAAGAGAGAGAGAGAGAGAGAGAGAAACTGATACATTTGATTAATTACATAACTAAAAAAATTCATTACGGTAATGATAAAATATTTCGATAGCATATTCTGTATTTGCAATATTTGTTTTCACTTAATATTCGCCCAATCGCGTGCTCGCTATATTTCACGGTAATATCATCGCGACATATACGTTACGCAGAGGAATCGGATTGCTCGTCCACGTGCGAGCCAGATCGTCGGTAAATAAATCGCTGACATTTGAATTGCGAGTTCATTAGCGCCAGCGCACATATAAATTTGTCGGCGTATCGCGATATAAAATTCCTCACGACATTAATCTTTGTGTGTCTCAGGACTTGGATTACGCAGACAAGACAGCCGGACGCGTCACCGGCGGTCTGGACGAGCTGAACAGCATTCTGAGTACCACGCAGAAGAAGCTCAACAGATTCAAGGTGACTTATGGATAATTAATCGCTCGGACGGCGCGCGCTCATTTCGTATGTTACTCGAATTAATTATTTTCTTGACATAAAGATCGCGCGGAATTTTTTACGACCGATACCGACTTAATGCTTCATAGTTTATTATATCCTTACCCGTTCGCAAATTGATAACGCTTTCTTTCCCGCTGCGCTTTAGCTTTATCAACCGGCCCACACAAATTGTTCTTGCACCAGAATCGCGACAACAATTCATTGATATTGCGTTACATTTTCGCCGCAAAAAGAAAGAAAAACGTTTGTGTGAAATAAATCATTTCGCAGAACGTTTGCGGCAGTCTGGGTACGTTGCTCAAAGTGAAGGTGGGTTCTCGAGGTGGCACGCCGCATCACAAACCGGAGGAAAACATCGAGAAGCAGGAGAGCGAGGACAAACCGGAATCCACGGCTGACGAAGTGATGACGGTGGAAACGTCAGCGGACACGGTCGCGGATGCTTCCGCGGAGGATCCTGAAAGCGACTCGGTCGCCAACAGCGGCTTCCAGCCGAGACAGCTCGATCTCAGTCAGAAGATGACGTCTCATCTGGGCAAACTGGATTCCCTGATCACGAAAGCCGAAAATGCACAATACAGTATGCAGCATCAGTCCAAGCAGATGCGGAAGTTCTTGAAGTAAATATCTCCGAAGAGAATATCGTCGGCTACATTATAAGCTTGCTCACAATTAGCAAGATACATTAGCCGATACGTTATTATTAATTAATGGGGATATCGGCTCTGAATAATAATTCGCGCAAGATTTATTGTTACACGAATTAATTTACATAATCTTCTATTTTGAACATAGAAAGTTCACGCGCAATAGAAGCTATTTTACATTAATATGTTACATGCGTAAAGGTGTCAAGAAATTCCTCAAAATTTCACGGAATTTCTAAGTGAGTAACGAAAACATTTTACATTTCTAATTATAATTAGCAAGATGTAAGAACGAATATGATAATCAGCTGGGGCAAACTAGCGTGTATGTAAAAATTCGTGTTTAATCTTACGTAAATTATAACATATATATATATATATATTGTTACATTTTGAGTATTATACGAAGTTTAATCGTTATTACATCGAATATTGATATTTGTCTTGTGATATATTTTTGTTCGTCGCGAGGTGACCCTTGTATGAATAATTGTTACATTCTTTTATATCTCACACATGACATTCTGTCTCTCTTTGTCGTTGAGAGCCCAATACTGTTACGATAATAGATACGTATGTTGTCATATGTACATGTATATACATATATAATACGATATATATACATATATATACACACACACAATATATACATATATATACACACAAATATTGTTGAATTTGTCATTGTTACGTAGACACGTCTTTTCGATGTATAATTGGAGCTTTGTGCTTGGATCCTTGACAATATATGTATACATATATATATCAACATATCAAGTGTAAAGAAGATGGAGATGTGAAGGCGCATGTCGGGCGAGCCGGTGATATAAACTTTCCTAAACTCAGCAAATAATGTGATATTGTTTTACATCGATGTAGAAATTGTTACGACCTTCTAACGACCCGTATATATATTTTTATTACCAAATAGTTTGCGCTCTATATTTTTCTAAATCTAAGTTTCAAACACAATGCATAAAAATAACGAACGACGGATATATTTTACGATCGAACATATAGTTTGCTCTATACCTCTTGTACTTAATGTTAGACTAAATAAATATATAGCATAATGACTGTTTGTAAGTTGTGAGACATGCTCGTCATATTATTCAAAGCAATAAATTGTGTTGAGTGCCTTGCTTTCGATTATGCAAAACCTCCTCCGTGTAAAACGATAATTCGCAAATTTGTGATTGTAACCCTCTTTGGATCAAACACTGGTATTATTTTTTCATTTCTTCACATACAAAATTCTTTCATGTTTATAAAAAATTGTTTTACGAACTAGAAATTAGAAAAATTTAGTGTCTCTGTTGCGCTTACTTTAAAACTGGATAATTTAGTTTTTTATAATAATGTTATCACATTAAAACAAAATATTACTTCTTTTACAATTTGCTTTACCAAAAAAAACTTTAATCCATAGAGGGACTTTCTGTCACACTACATATCTATATATAAAAATAAAATTCTTCCGCTATAATATACAAATATCGCAGAAAATAATATAATCTACCGCGCTATATGTTATTAACATAATGCTTGTTTAATTAACATCCAATGTTATTTCTAGTTATATAGATAATTTTTGAATTATACGTTTTATTTTTACTGACGCATTTGAAATGTAATAATTTTATTATCAATATTGTTACGATGTAATTTATTCTCGAAAATATCTATGTATATGTGTAACGCTATTTTATAATTAAATTCTTAAGGCTATTATATCGAAGAGTTTTGCCTCGACTTTGATTTATACTATCTGATTTTTTTTTGCATGCTATATGTTGTAAGAAAAAACGGCTTTGAATTCTATTTTTTATCGTCGAAAACTAATGTCGAAAACACTAATGCTAATTGTATCTTTATTTAACTATACGATTTTTAAGTAGGATGTAAAAACCCGCTCGTATAAAAAAACCACTCGTATGAAAAAACTACTTTGTTATACAATACATCTCACTGCTTAATAAGTAGATAATGCGACACGAAAAAAAAAATGGAATAAGAATAACACATGGAATAACTTAACCTTTCGCTGAAGCTATTTATTGTCTGGCGATGTTCATTGATTTATCGACCGGAATGTTGAAACTTGTTTTACATCTATTTTTGACACACGCACAAATATTTTATTCTTCTAGAAAAAGTTCTGTACTTTACTTTTCCGAACTATTGAAAAGACGCGCCGAATGCGCGATTCTCAAGAGATCGATTGTGCGAAAGATCGCGAAATATTAGATAAAAATGACAAGAGCGAACAAATTCACTAAAAAAAACGATACCGTCAAATTCCAGTAAATTTATTTGTATTTTTTATAATTAGGTTTTTTACCTCGTTTTTTACAATACACTCGATCGCGACTCCCTTTTCCTGATTCTCACGTGCGTATCTAGGGAGATCTAGTGATTCTCATCGTTGAATTTGCATGTCACATGTCATGTGCACGTCACACATGCGTTGTACGCGTTACGTCAGATAACCTTGTTGCTGTTTCAGGAAACCGATCCGAGTAATTTATCAATGGAATTCAAATGCAGGAGCTCAAATTGTTCCACAAAATGCTTGGTCGTGGCTCAATTAATAAGTTAAAAAGTTTTTACTCGCAAATTAACTTTAGGTGTACATATTACATTTCTTCTATTAAATAGTGACGCACCGACTGTGAGTTTTGTAATAATAAAGCAAAAATAAATCTCATCTTGTAAATTAAAACACCAAAGATGGATGAACGCCTGCGATTGATTGTATATAGAAATAACGCGATTTTCGACGATGTTATCGTCAGATTACAACGTGTGTCTAGGTATGATGAGATCTGTGGACGTGAGTTCGCGTCGTCTGCAGAAGACAATGTTGAAAATAATAAATGTAAAAAGATAACCGAGCCAGTTAGTTTATGCACGAAAGGACTCAATTCTTACCTGGTATCAGCTTATGTTGCTACGCTTTCACGATCGTACGTTTATCGCAAAAGTGCCATGAGAGTGTTGATCAAGTTTCAAAAGAAACATAGCAGGTCACAAGCTGAAAAATACGTGCATATAATATTTGTAAGACTAAGAACACCGAAAAAACAATTCTTGGATTACAAATGGTAAGTTACACGGTGTGATGCAGTTGGTACAATTCAAGCTACATGCTGTGATGCAGATACAAATGTTTTATCTTTACATTTTCTCAGGAATGAAAGACTGATGCAAATAGTTATAGAAAAGCAAGAAGCTGATCACGCTATGTCCTGGTTGTCCACATTGGGAGGAGCATTTTCTGCATTGGGAGAAGAATTTACAAACTGTGTAAGTTGCTTCTGGTTTTATTCTTTACCGTTGAACTGTGCAACAATAAAATTAATAAACATCTATTTTGTGTATACACATATAGGCTGAAATAGCAGGCAAAATTTCAGTGAAACAGCTTGAATTAGCGTTGCGTCTCAACAATCCTCTTCTTGTTGCCCGTTGTAAATTATATACCGCTTTAAGCTTAATTCAACGGGACCAATTTATTACTCCGCAACACATTATAAAGAGGATTTACAAACTTGCGCTCAAAGAGAAGGATGTGCGACTGCAAAACATGTGTCATGGTATATGGGCAAAGTTACGATACAGTTACAAGCAATATAAACAAAGAAAAAAGTTTGTGTCATTCAAAACTTTGCATATATCTGCAAAAACTTAGGAATTCAAAACTTTTTGTACGTTTTGTAAGTATGTTGATAATATAGACAAATGTTTTTACACAGACACATAGATTGTCAGAATTTATTTATATAAACGTACACACATATAATTTTGTTTAATTTAAATCTAAATAAAGTAAAACATATTAATTTATTATAACATTATTAATGCACAAAGGAAAAGATAAATGATGGTAAATTAAGTCCAAAACTGTATTTATTGAGCAAAAACTTTTAATTGTATTTGTCGCGGCAAGGTTTTTTTTTATTAAATTTTACATTCTATCTATTATATAATATATATATATATATATTATATAATATATATATCTATTATATTATATATATATCTATTATATTGTATATATATATATATTGCTCTGTGTTACTTTACCTTATAATGTGTGCTTTGGGATTATAAAAGTAACATGCACAAAGAGACAAGTGCTTTTATAATACGCCATACATTTCACTGCACTTAATAACAATTAAATCGTAGGCATGTAACATGACAATAAAATAGTTTAGTCTCTTTATACTTACTTTTTAGTTGTATGAAAGAGGCTGATGTAATCTATCACGTTAAAGTATTAATGATTATTTTATTATTTATAAATATATATAGTGTTCAAAACCAATATATTATTGCCTAAAACTGAAATGTGTGCAGCATAGCACTCTTGCGCAATCGGAAAAATGCGGCTTTACACACACGCACACACGTGTAACGATATTTATTTTATGATTTCAAATATATGGTAACTCATATACTCAGTCTTGATGGTTGAACTAAACATTGGCCCTCGTATACTGCAATAAACTGGATTTACAATTCGTGAGAATAACGAAGTTACTTATCAATACTACTGCTTTCTCTTGTAAAGTATAAAATATCCATAGTTTTGTACAATTACTGTCCCTGAAATTTTTATTAGAAACTTGAATTCTCATTTTTATATTCCGGAGTTTTCATTTTGTGTTCAAAGTAAACCAGCTTGCCATAATGTGTAAGTTAAATCTGCTTTATCATCAATGAGCGAGCGTGCCCATGGGATCCCAGGCGGGCAAAATAACTGGTTCCTGATTGAATACAGCCAATACGTCCGCGGGTACGTATTTCTTATCTACGACTGCTTCGAAGACAAACTCTGCGAACCAATCAACGCTCACTACCTGATAACCCTTGAGACCGTGATCCTCGCCCCAGGAATTTTCTATTCGGAACTTCTTTATCTTACCATCACGCTGTAAAATATAGCAGTACCCCACATTTGAAGTAACAATTATATAAAATCAATTATATAAGTAATAATCGCAAAAATACTTACGTCTATTGAGACAGCTGTAAATGCCATCGCATGTACCATCATGGAATCACCATAGAGCAGTCTATCGGCCTTTGTAAGCCCGACGTGAATGTCAGTACCAAACATCAGTTCAAAGTTGTAAGTTTTTATATCGTGAATACCGTGCTTATCAATTAATCTTTTGTTAACATCGCAGCCAAACCAAACAGGTTCGTTATCTTTTATGCTCTCGGCACACAATTTCATCAGCAATTCTACCGGTTGATTGTTGTAACGGGTAGTTTTCCCACCCACGACATTTCCCAGACAGTCTACAGTGTACAATTTCCCATAAGGATTACCCGGTCGCGGATCAGTCACCAAACATACTTTATCGTTCACGTTGTAGTACGGTTTCACATAGGTCTCGTAAAATTCCAAAGGTGTGATAGGTCCTACACAGTTGTAAGTTTTCGACTTGTCGTAATACTCCCATGTAATCTTCTCGGACGGTATACCCAAACAAATGCCAATTATTCGATAAATCACCGTCATTTGCTCGTTTATTCGTTCTTTCAGCTTCTCGTCGGAAGCGCCGTTATCAATCATATCTCGTAATGCCTTTGCGTATTCTCTCAGCTTGCTTTTTAGCAAGCTATTCATTCGTACACTGGATTCACAGCTGTAAGATTCAGGAAAACACGTTTTCGGCACGACACCATGTCTAGTTATTAAATTTACTATCATATCCCATTGGCCACCGTCGCAAGTAGGATCGCTCAACAAAAAGTTAACCAATCGACCCTCTACTGGTTCACCTCGTTTCGCAGTGGCCACAATATTATGCAAGAAGTAATTGCATCGTTCTACCTGTGAGAAAAATATTGGAGAATATTGAAATATATATTGTTACGGAACATATAATAATCGAACAAATAAAAAGAATATTTTTCTTTCGAGAAAGTTTATATATACATATGTACTTAATAAAAAAATTTTAAAATAAACATTACCTTATCCCAAAAGAACAAGTAAGCCTGGCTAAATTCAAACTCATCTAAGTTATGTTGTTTCATGAAGCTGGTTCTCATGACATTTAAGATTGCGAATAACCAGCATCTTCCTGAATTTTTCTGGTTGGTTACAGGCTTGCCTTCGGTCTCGATTTTATGGGTAAAAACATGATAAGATTCCTCTAGAATCTTTCTTGAAGAACAGGCATCGATGGGATTTGTTTTTGTGCAGACATTTTGTGCCAATACATTGCGGCTGTCTGCGTAAAACTTCGCACGAAGCTGATTGAGAAGTTCGGGAGTTAGAGGACCTATTTGAAGAAAAAAAATGTTCTGTTACATGTCTGATTTATGTGTCAACGTTGCATCTTGCATATATGATAAAAACAGTTGTACACTATGTACTGCAAAGCAAAAAAAAAACTGCATTATCATCTTATCACATTCTTAAAAACTTTATAACTGTTACGATGTGTTATCTCCGCGATAACACATTGTGAACACTCACGTGACTTAGAAAATAAGTGAAAAAAACTTGCGATTATGAAATTTAAAATTATTAATAACTATTTTTCTCGAAAGAGGGTGTGGCTTTCTCCGAGGCAAAAATCGGGCATATTCGGAAAGGTTAAGGCTGGTCAGTTACATTCTGGTATATTAGCTATCTCACCTCTAATCAAAATTTCTTGCGTATGAAATATATGTTATATATTCACAAAAGCTTACTTACAAAGATTTTTGACATATAATGTGTAAAATATTTTGACATATACAACTTACAGACAACCATCGTGACAAATTGTAAGGAACCAAACAACTCAGGAGGTCAAGTTAGATGACGCCAAGAAGTTGTATCTGATTGTATCCAGGGGGTAAAATCTCACCGTGTGGCGTTTTTAGAGGAAGGGGGAGATGTTTGATTAGTTCACTAACTTCTTACTTTTACGTACGGCGGCAGCACTGTCTTTCCTATCATTACTCGGTTATTAAGGCGGTCCGTATAAACATAATTAGGGTAATTGCAAACATGTATGTAAACATATATAATATAAAATGTCAAAACTGAGAATTAAAAGTATATCATAAATTATCTAAAATTATAAGTTAATTATATTCTATTCATCGGTTCTTTCTTCATTCATTATTTTGTGATCAGAATATTGTACATATTTTACACATACATACGTATATAATTTTTTTTTCTAGTTTTATTTGTTACATTTATTTTATCCAGGTGTAATTATATGTACATCTTTTATTTTCTTTGTTTAGTTAAAATATATTTTCTATGTTTGGTGAATTACATGTTATAAATAAATGTAAAAACATGATTTTTTTTTTAAACCTGATCGTATCTACGTAGTCGATTCTGTCGTTATCAATGAAAATCTCTTAGTACTAGGCACATCAATCGTACGTATGATGCCTTGTCCCAAAACGTAAAAATCTTCAATCATTGTTGATACGTTCAGCACAAGTTTACCATTAGCGTCAAGCTTTCTGCAGTTAGTTTCTGACGCTTTAAAATCTTTTGGCTCGAGAGCATGAGGTTTCAATAGAACTCCAATTACCGCACCTCCATAAGTATCATGAAAAAATAAGGCATAATCGCCGTAACCATCCTAAAAATCAAGCAAAAATAAAGATAAAGAAAGAGAATAAAACAAGCTATCTTAATAATAAATACTTTCTTATATATAAATTTTTAATCGTAAATATATTAATTAACGATGATGCTCTTTTTATTTCTTTTATTCTTAGTAAGATAACTCTAATGCTTTTAAACAAAAAAATACTAACCCGTAAGTCTTTTAAGAAACATTGCACCGCATCAAAATCTACAACTGGAATTTTTTGAAGCGAATGCATCTTGTATGGATGTACGTTTACAATGTTCACTGAATCAGGTATATCAACCGCCTGCAATCTTCTACAGATCATCTCATACTTCAAATGTATCAAACAATCGTATTCTGACAATGCGGGACGAAATAGAGGTTTTATATCTATCGTACTATCAGTCAACATATCATTGAATGATTCCAGCGATGCCTTTGCAAGCGCACTTATGCGATTTAAAATCAGCAGAGACGGTGCTTCTCGTGTCCATAAAGATTTTTGCTGATCGTAAGGAGTAGATATAAATAAAGGTGGTAACGAACTGCGAGCTGTATTAAACAATGTCTCTACGGCAACAATTTCTTCGTCTGAAATTTGATATATATTAATAAGCTATAGGAAACAAATGATAATATTGGCAAGTTTAAAAATTATTATTTCACTAATAAATTAAATATCACAGTTAATACAATGTGAAAACAGTAGTAGATGCAATAAAAAAAAGAGATAGAAATGTTTTAAAATATATCAACTTACTGCTCATTTCGTTATTAAAATTAACAATGACGGGATCGGTGTTCCAGTGAGCTCTCGCAACAACTTCTAGAAACCGTAGAAATGCTACTTGCGGCATTTGAGCTGGCTTATACGGTTCCGGTATTAGATATATCGACGCCATGAGCAATTCAACTACAATTCCTGGCATATAAGTATCATCCAACAGCTGAGCCGATAACCATCGTTTTGCTAGACAACATGCAGGACCAAACGATGGTTGCTGAGAATGCAATCTATCAAGAAAATATGAATATGTATTAAAAAAAATGTTATATATTGAGATTTAAATCTAAGATAAAAAGTAATAAAAAGCTCATTATAAATTAATTAATTTTGTCAATGACTTTGAAATTTTACCCATGTAAGGCGCTGCTCAATTTAGGTAAATGGAACAATTTGTTTTCCAACTCTATGGATTCTTTGGTGTCTCTATATTTAATCACTCCGTTCTCTTTAACTTGTTTCATTAAAGCAATTTCTTTTTGATGCGCTACTCTTAATCGGAAAACCAATCCATCCTATTAAAAAGATAATTGTGATTATATGTACGAGCAGAAAGAGAATACACTTATTATTACATCATATATTTGAAATATTATCAATATTAACCTGAAACACATCTACATAAGAAGGACTGGTTTGCACTTTCAACTGATGCTGGTTCCTAAGACACTCCGCGATTTGTATGTGAAAAGCTGCTTTTGTTTTTTTAATGGCTTCTAATTCCTCAGGCCATTTGCCACTAATCGACAATTGTAACGTCACCTCAAGTGGGTGAACATACGGAGGACATTGCTCAATGTGTTTCGAAAGAATCAAGCAATTTTTTTTCTCTTCGGTAACGCCATCGATGGGCTTATAAACGGTAGCAAGAGGCGGAAAAACTTCCGTGTATCGGAAAACTGGACTTGAACCTTGCACACCGTTTATCATCAGAGGCATATCATTCAGTGACATTAAATTTTTCTCTAAGATATTAAAAGTTTGTAATACTTTCAACGTAGCTTCTTCACCGGTATGATACACAAAATGTGTTATCTTGTTCTGGAAACAGATATAAAATAATTAAAGTGATCTTCCATCGCAAGTATTATCAACATTTTTATAGAGTTTGCTATATTTTCATACGTAATATTATAATGAAATATAAATATTTTCATATTTTGTAGCAACATACCTTATGCAACTTCAATAAGTCTTCCGCTTGATCCGCGATATATAAATATTGATTTTTCTTAATATTAAACTTACTTCTTAATAAGTAAATTATTATTTTCTTGCATATTGCTCTTTTATCCGCGAGAGTTTTTCCTTTTGACCAAACTACAGCCTCACGAATAGATCCATCTTTAAATCTACGTAATTCAGACTTAGCGCCCCAAAACTCTCTAAAGTCAGCCGCCTGCAACGTAAAATATAAGTTTATCTTATAATGCGCGCGCGTGAGCGCGCACACACAAAATATGCACGCATGATATATGATAAAAGATATCAATTTATAAATAATATATGTTAATAAAAAATTAATGTTTCACACAACAATTATTATTCTTATTACTTCTGCTAAATTGGCTTCAGGTCCTTTATCTATAATGTTAAACCACGTCTTAGGATTCAACTCAAATCCAATAATAATCTTTCCAATATTATTTGGAGCATCATCAGTACATTCCCATTCTCTATAATCATTGAGCAATATGCTCAAACAAATAATTCTATCTTTTAAACCTTTTTCCAAAACTTCAACAAGCAATTTAATTGCTTGATTGCGCTTATCAGGTCCGTAATTAATTTTATTCTCAATAGTAGACTTATTTTCTACCATTTCTTCTAAAATTGCATCATTCTGGAAACTATGTACATAGAAATGATAACTTAATCTTTTTATGTATATATTTATGTATATATTTATTTTTATGTATATATTTATGTAAATTTTTTAATTATATTTTGTATGTATACATTACCATAAAATATGATCAAATGCTCTAAAGAACGATACATTTCGCATAAAAAGTGCTTGAAAACTATCCACATGTATGTTATCTAAGTGTTTTAGACACAGCTCTGCTTCTCTCTGGATCCATGAAAATGTATTTCTCGACATATTCGCCGCAAAATTGTGATATCCAGTAGAATCAAGGAAGACACAATCGTAATATTTGTGATAATGGGAAACTCGTTCCTGACTAGCTTTGTCTTCACACATAGTAATTCCATTTTCCCACCAATTTTTCGATGCTATTTCAAGGAAATGCAATTAATATTTAAACAAAGTAAAAGAAAAAAATATAATCGGCAGTTCTTTTAAATACCTAAGCAGACCCAAACATTCCGTACAATCTGGTAACTACTCATAAATGTATTAAGTTTTTTTATGCGCAGCAAATAGATCACAAACATAGTCATAATGTGGCCAGTAAAACCACCAAATCCCTTATTTAAGTCACGTTGACGTAACCAGATTTTCAATAAAATTATTCCATCTCTCAGATTTGGATATTCTCTTATTGTTTGTGCAATTTCAGAATTTGTACTTGACATTATTAAATCGTGCAATATTAAAGAGTTATAATAAGGAGTAGCTGGTAGAGAAACTGTATACAAAAAGTAAACATTGTATCATATTGTTGCACAATAAATAAATTACAATAATTTTGTCATAAATTATACTTACTATCTTCTAAGGACTTTTTACCAAAATACCATCCTGGTCTAACACTATTTTTCTCGGGCAAAAATCTGTTTAATTTGAAACTAGTCTCCTGTACAGAGATATGTATAATTACATCTATCTTTTTGTTTAACCTTCCATTAAGCTGAAGCTTCAACAAAGGTCTGAGATTATCACCAACAAACTTCTTGCTTTTTGCAAGATCACTTCCTATAGCTGCTGTTATAAAAGACAGATACATTGCTTTTTTTCTAAAATATATATAATTCTGATAATCCTGTTTCCTAAATAAGGCAGCTGGTATTTCTACCATTACATCTATAGTAACTCTAGATCCAAGAATACATTCTGATCCAGAATTATAAGACCCAACAACTTTAATATTGGATGGTCTTAAAAATTTGAAAATACTTTTAGTTTCTATTGGTACATGTGGTAATGGAATATGAATGCCTAATTTATCTTTCAAATTATGATCCGTAAGCTAAAAATAATCAAGACATTTATATTTATTGTGTTTTATTGTATTGTTGAATTAATAAAAAATATTATATATTACATATTATATGTATTATTTATCAAAATAGTACATATAATTTCAAAATTTTATTATCCTGTGATAGTTATATTATTTACCGGTATTTCTTCAGTTTCGTCAATAGCTTCTATTGTTGCCTTCAGCTTCTCAAACCAAATTTCAAATAATGCTTTATGTTTATCCTTAAGTTTGACTTCATTGAGAACTTCTTCAATCTGAAGTTTGAATAAGTTTGAATGGAATAAAGTCTCAGTTTCTCTAAGTTGATTAAGTTCTTCCACTGTTGGTTGCTTGTAAAGAATAGTTTTTTCAAACTTTTGTTTTTTAGTCACCACATTAGTTAATTCGTCAGTTACTTTCTTTCTTTTCTTTTCGTTATTCATTGTGCAGGATCCCATTTCGTGTAATATTTAATAATTAACACAACTCCTCATTTAGCATAAAAATGTTTTTTTTTTTTTAAATGCGTAAACACTGACGTACTTATGCCCACGTGAATGTTCTAACCTTTATCCTTAGCAGAAAGAAGCCTGAGAACGGCCAGGTCCATAAGAGAATGTGTTATCACTTTTCCGCCCCGTAAACTAGCGCATGTCCACGGGTGTACACATTGGAACTACGCAGCCAGTCCACGAGCGACACGTCGGTGCTCTATGTCCACAGCGTGCGGTTCTATTCTGTGCTATGTGCACGAGTTTAAATGGTCACTTTCTTTAAGTGTGTGAATATATTCGAGAGCGTGAATTTGATTTTTTTGAAATTTCAAATGACCGATCTCGTGATGAGAAGATGAGAAAGGAAAACAGAAAAGAATAAGAAAAACCATTGCAACTTTTCGTACAACATAAATGTGATATACCAGAAAAGATGTGATAGTCAAGAAAAGAATCTTATTTTAGCGAGCAACATCAGAATT